GTAAATGCACTGTGTTCAATCAAGCAACTCCAGGAATGAATTTGGCCCAAGGGATTTAGTTCTTTTTTCAGCTCAGACGTGGCATGCTACAGCCAGTCCAGAAGCCGTAGAAACAAGACCTAGGCATGTGAGTTAAATATAGAGTGCTGCTGGAGGGAGGAGAGGTACGTATAGCAAATTGCTTAACAGCAACTACAGAAGGAGGTACAATCAATACATTGTAAATAGCACGTTTGAATTTCTATAGCTTCTAGTTGGAAAAATATTCTGCTACAAACAGCTCTGAGATAAAAAAGAGGCTTATTCTAATAAACCTTGTTCTCGGCTTGACTGTGGAAACGATATAACCAAGCTGCAACTCAATTGCACCGTAGAAGAAAACAATAAGAAAAACCAAAACCCAAACACAACGTGGTAGTAGTTGTCTGTTGCGTTCTCACTACGAAACTCAGACCTAGTCAGCGAGTGGTTCCAGCCTAGAAACTTTTTTAAAAAGATTCAAAGAAAGGGTTTGTATCGCATGTGGCAGAAACAGGAGCTGAACTGAAAACAGGCTTTGTCACATGAGGGGGGAGGTCCTTGAAAGAATTAGGGACTACCTCAGAGCATGACAAGAGAAGAATAAAAAATTTTAAGTGGATGAATTGAATAAAGAATTGTGGGAAAAAGAGGTAGATGAAGATCAAAGTGGGTTTAGTAATTCTAAATAAAACATAACTAAGACTCTGCAAGATAGCACAGTGCCCAATGTCAATACAGAGTAACTTTGAAGTATCCCTTCCCTGTATAACAGAGCTTTAGCTCCACAAATATTCTTATAATCCAGACATCAAGCAGAACAAAGAACGAAATAAGAAACACTGCACTCCAGCTTTACTGGCAGTAATTTCCTGACTGGTCAGAAGCTGGTTGTGAAACCCTGACAGGTTGTGTCTGCACGATCCCTGATATCACCCGCAGTTAAAATTAAATGATAATTTCTTTTACTGCTGGGCTGTGGAGGAAAGAGCTTAAACCAGTCAAACTTATTCTATGTACTGACCTGGTTCTGTAAGCACACAGCTATTCTTTGGAGACGTCCTTGCAGTTAACTATAGCTAGTCGTGAACTGGTGGGTGGTATCAGCCCAGCTTCTGCTTAGCAGCATAAATTAGTGCCTAGACTTATCAGACTGAGCAGTGTCCCATGACAACACTTCTAAAGGGCTTCCAACTTTGAGCTGAATCATATGCTTCAGGCTAGAAGCATGGGAGGAGCAAACTTGCTTCTGCCTGCCCACAACTGCGTGCTTGTATGATAAAGGCTATGGCTGCAAAGTAACCCTTTCTGTTGTCTAGATATTTCATGGCGTAAGTAAAAATGGTGAGTGGCAATAGCTGCAAACTAGATAAAGCCAGAGGTTCAGTTAGTTAAACCACCCAAACTGTGTCACAATGTCCATAAGTTGCTTCCAAGTTAACAGAAAGTTGAAAACTTGTAATACGTTATTATGGTTAATTTTTTCTCCAAGAGAAGTTTCTTTGGTAGGTTGTTAGACAATGGCTTATACCTTTCTTAAATTTACCTTTTTGCCCAAGACAGGGTCTATATGGGTATGGATATTTTTCTAAGTTTTTACTAACATAAGAGCAATGCTACAAACTCCAGAGTGCATAAATTTTTATACTATTCACATAACTTATCCTTGTCTAGATAGTAAAAATTCACCCTGATATTAATACATCCAGGTTAGAGAACTGCGGAGACCTACGGATGTATTGGTGTAATACAATTTTTATGTAGGGACAAGATCTGAGAAGACGGATTTGGTATTGCAGAACGTCAGGATACTGCATTCACGGGGCACTCCTACGGGAAGATGTATACCCAGATGTCTTAGCTTGGGAGCATCCCAGGAATGGCGACAGGTCAGAATAACTGGCTAGTTCAGACTGACTCGCTCCGACGGTTGGCAGAATTAAGCTCAGATCTGTCTGCCCAAACTTGAGTAGACTTGCTCATGTACGGAGCTCCCAGTCTCAAATGGAGGCTATGCAGCCGCGACCACGTGATGCCACGTGGCAGTGCTATCCCCACTTGCTGTGCAGAGCACAGAGCTAAAGCTTTCCCAGTAAATCCATGGCTGGCATAACAACAAATGACATTCCCTTCTTCTCATAATCCTGGCCAAAGACTGGTTTTTAGAAGCCTAAACAAAGGGAGACAGGAGAGCTAGCACATTACCATAAATCCCACAGATCATGTGAAACACTGAGTGGAAGAAAATTCTTTTGAGCTTGCATTTTCAGAATAGCAGGAGGGATTTTCTTTTATGTGAATTTGCTGTTTTCAACAGTCAAATTAGTTTCTCTTGCTGAGAAACATGCAAAAGAGGAATTTTGGGAAAGGAAGCACAGCTCATGTATGAATCAGGAAACTGCCTGGAGATATCTAAAATAGGAAACAGCTAAAAGAGAAGAAAGATGGCCAGCAAAGTTGTACTCTAAAATTTAACAATTATATACAAGCTGTTAGGCTATTTTGTGTTTACTATGCATCTTAAAAAGTTATCATGTAGACTGAAAAAAACTTTCCCCTTTCAAAGACTTTATAACTCCTCATGAAAACTTTGAAGCTCAGCTAAATCTACCATACTTCTGTCTTCTCTCCCCTCACTTTTTTTGTAATATATGTTGAAGTATCTGAATGGGGTCAAGAACCTGTCCTACCTTAAGCTTCATCTATTTCTGCTGGTTTTTTTCCCTTGCTTGCAATCAATTAGTTGTTTAGGACAAACTATGAACAGAAGATTCTGTGCTAAGGAAGGAAGGAATAAAATGGCATAGATTAAATTCTGAACAAGTCCTACTTTCAAATTTCTGGAAATTAAAAAAAGCAAACAACGGGAGAAATAGCAACAAAGCTGAAATGTTAAACCATTTTTGTTTGTTTATGAACCTATGCACAAATGTTTTCCAGCAGAGGAAGCACTGTTAGCTGAAGGATGTGTTATTTGTCACAAGATGTCCTTTTCGGGCACTTAGCAAATATTAGAATGGTTGGTTTTCTTTTAGAATTACATTTTTAAATGGCATTTAAATTATGACCTGACTTAGAGTAATTCTGTGATGTGTGTACTTTTCTCAGCTTTCTCAGTGTAGTTGTTTTAGATTACGGACCCAACATAAAAAATTATTAGCTAATGGGATATATTTGTCCCATCTTAACAAAATGTTGTAAACTTTGTAGACTTCACATGGAAATCCGATCACCACCTCAATCTCATAAACCAAAATTAGTCATTTTCTTCCTTTATCAGTTTGACTTCTAACTCTCCTAAAGATTGATTTGTCAAAGCTCTTAAAAGCAGATATCGAAAATGCAGAAAAATACAGCAGAGTTGGATTGTAAGCAAACAGCCACAGATTCCTTCACGCCAATGTAAAGCAATACCCGACAAAAAGTAGCGCTGGAAAATTCTTGCTACACGTCAGTTAAGAAGCCTCAAATAAAAGTGATAAAAATACTTCTGTTTACCCAGGATCTGTGTCTTCAAACAAGGGTCCTCACTTGTCAGCATAACCCCCACGTTAGAATACTATCCGTATATTTAGCAATTTGAATCATGACAAGGTTTTACCTTGCTTTGAAAAAAGTTTAAGGACTGGTAATCACCCCTCCCCTGCTACCATTTATTCTGTCCTTTTTGTGGCTCTGGGATAAGGTTCTCTCAATTGCCAGGGACTATGTTGCTATTTCCACTTTTGTATTCACCATTTGATATGCCTTTCTTCCACATGCTCTTTCTTTCCCTCCTCCTTCCTCCTTAATGCTAAAGACACCATGCTACACCCTAGCAGAGGAACAACGAGGAGAAAAAAAGAAAGAGTACAATCAATCACAAGAGAGATGATAAGAAACCAAAAGTCCTACCTCATGCAGAGATCTCTTAGTTCGACCAGTGATCCAGTACAGTTCACTGACACTCCTGTAAATTATTAATTAGGTCATGCCACAAAATGCAGCCTCTGATATAATCCATTTCCCACCCCACCCACTAAAAAAGAAACAACGGGATGACTTCCAAAGATGGTATCTACCCGAAACCTATCTTCTTTCCCCCACCCTGCCAGGTTGCTAATCTGGGAACACAAGACGTAAAGCAAACCATGCCAGAAAAACAGGCAAGACAAAAAGATGTGTTTGAAAAGTCAAAACTTCTAAAATGTTAGGTAGACGAGGTATTTGGTCCTGTTGTCTTCATGAGGAAGAATTTAAGTAAGCCATTGATAAACGTAACAAAAGATATTTCATATGAAGGAAAAAAAGTACAGAATTCCAAGCTGTCCTTACAATAAATTCAAAAGGAGAAAGTCTGCCCATTAATAGAACCAATTCATGCCTCACAAAACCCCTATTTTTGTTGAATGGCTTTATTACAGCATATATACATTTCTGAAATGCCCTTTTAATACCACACTGTTTACAGTACATTGAATAAACATCTCCCCCTGGAAATACACCAAACCACATCTAATCTATTAAGTTAATTTATGACTTTAAATATAACTAGCTACAACTGACAAAATTCTGTGGAAATATGATGTCTGATAGCTATCTAGGAAGTTTTTTTTAATCCCAAATTTTGAAAAAATATGCTTTCACTGCAGAAACACAATGCTTCATGTAAATGATTCCTGATACTAGAATGTATTTGCCACTAAAGGACTTAATGCTTGCTTTCTTAAAAGAAATTAAGATATATATTATTTATATATATGTATGTAAAAAAAAGGATATCACCAATTATTCTGATCAGCTTAATGCTAACCACAAAAGAATTAAAATAAGAGAGTAGAAAGCTGTAGGAGATGAGACAAAGACACGTTAGAAACCACACCCGATAACCAGAATCTGTCTCTGGTCCCTGAGAAAGATTTTTGAAGTGTAGTGCAGACACACCTGCTCAGCGCTGACTGCGGCAAGTATCAGGGGCTACTCCTCTTATTGATATTGCGACCATGGGAAAAACCCACTCCTCATTGCTGATATCTGTCTCCACCCGTCTCAACGATCAAGCGTGTGAGAATGTGCAAGAACGAGCAGAGTGGCATTACACAGACTTTGTACTTTCTCCTGAAGACGGCGGTTCTGATGGGAAAGCCTTAGCCTGTGGACCTGCACAGTGCTTTATCGTTAGCTGTGAGACACAGCCCGAGGGCTGGCGACACCCCAGCTTCACAGGGCCTGCCGGTGGCACAGCGGCAGCTACAGGTAGTTCTGGTTCCCAGGTGGCTTAAGAAGGATGCCAAGTGAAAGCAACTGAGTCACTTTCAAGCTAGAAAGGAGAGGGTGCGTGCTGATGTGTTTAGGAACACACAAACACCTAAAAGAAGCTACAGTCTCGCCACTGCTGCGTAGGCTGTGGTTCATTTCGACTCTGAGCTCTATAATAATGAAAGCAATCAGTAATGCTAGTGTACAATGTAGTGTAGCAATGGGCACTCGGCCAAGATCCCATCCTTATAAGAGTTTAGAAGCATTGCTCCAAATTTATCACCAATTCTTTCCTAAATTGCCACTGTAGGGGCTGTTTAAAGGTAATGTTTTCTATCAACATCTTTGCTACATTTAAGGCCTTTCCTTATTAGCAAAATACCTTAATGCTGCAGGAACATTTCTTCACATAAAACTTGTTTTGTGTTTGGGGAGATTTAATTCTACCCTTGATCCTACGCGTCTGAACTAAATGCTATGTGAAGAGCATACGCTCAACGCTGCCTCATTCAATTCAGAATAGCGGCTAAAATAGACAGCTGAAACAACTTTGCATGCATGTACCTGAAGAGCATAAAAGATTAGTATCTGAATATGCTTGAGGTCTCTTTAATTCAAAGGCCTCTCAGTATGTTCCAGTCATGTCTTTCTTTCTGCTGCTGCAGTGGGTAAGAGTGTTTCTAGTGATTTATTGATTAGCGCTGCAGGAGGCAACAGAGAGGGGGTTTGCCTTTTTTTTTTTTTTTTTTTTTAAAAGCAGTGACACTGGACAAGTCATCAATCCATATACTAAAGTGACAGTAATTCCTGTTTCATGTATTTTCAAACATTAATGGGGTGAAAAGAATTAATCAGACCTACACTGGAAGTGATGTTAGTTCTACAAAACTTTCTTTTGAGTATTTTAATTTCCATCCATTTCTCCTCAACTGTGGACCAGATGATTGATGGTTTCTGAAACGAAATGGTTGGATGCTGCCCCCGTGTGAGCCAGGCCCTCGCTCCACAGACAGTTGAACCATGACTGCCTAAAACTGTTTTCTGTTGCCAGATCCTTCTCCCCAAGAAAAAGCAGCTGATTCTTTGTCCCAAACTCTGATTTGGCTATGGTGGTAGTAACCACATACGACTCACTACATACAGCAGCAGGCAGGGTCACTACTCCGCTTCAGTAAAGGCCATTAGCGAGCACTTGGAATGAGAAAGACCTTGTTCCCTGTGGTATTGTTTTGATCGATGCCTACTTTGAGGCCTTTTACCTTAGGCTGCCAGAACGCATTACAAGCATTAATAACTCTCACAGCTCCCATCCGAAGCAGGCCAGCAGCATCGCCCCTCGTTTAATCAACACCTGGCACGGGGCACAGGCACAGAAACCGCTGCCGCAGGCTGTGAAGCGTCGGAGGCGGCCCGACGGCCGCCCTGTGCAGCCACCTGTACGCCGCAGCGGAACCACGTGCTGAAGCTCCTCGCGCTCGCCCCGTCCGCCGGCCTCCGCGGCGCGGCCCCGCCATTTTGGTCGAGGAAGCCTTCCTCTCCCGGCCCGCGGCCCTCGCGCCTGCCCTCAGCCGTCAACGTGTCTGAGCCACAGGGATCCGAAACAGCTTCACGCGCTGCCTGTGAGGCCTGGCGCAGGGCAGAGGCTTTACTCAGGCCACCTTCTCAGAGGCGTTCAGCTCTCCCTCCGCGCCGCAGCTGAGGAAGGGGCTGTGGCAGCCCGCCTCTCACCGCGTCTGTCACAAAGGGGCGTGCGGCTTCAGAGGGGAAAAGCAGGGGTTTGCATCGGTTAAGGTTCCGGGCTGTCGTTGTGTTCCTCTTCTTTCCCAAAACGCCTTCCCTGAACCCTTGCAGCAGCATCTCGGGGGGAAGCCAGTCAAGCAAAGTGGAAGGTTTTTTCCCTTCCAATGCGCCTGATTTTAAGGCAAACGCGCTTCTCTACCGCCACAGCCTGTGCCCGCCTTCTAAAAGGCTCTCGCGGCTTTGCAGCGGCCCCAGAAGCCGGAGCTCCGGGCGCAGGGGCCGCGCTCTCCGGGAGGGGAGCGGCCGCCTCCCCCCGGCTCTGGGCGCAGGGCAGGCGCCGCCCGAGCGCGGCGGTCGCGCAGGGGGGCCCGCCGGCGTCCCCGCCCTCCGCTCAGGCGCTGCTCCGGCCCCCCGCGGGGGTCCTG